ACGCCGTCGAAAAGGAAAAAAATTCAAAAAAAGGTGCCGCAGAGGGACGAGAATTTTCAGTGAGAAACCTAGGCCACGCGAGAACCTAGGCCAGCGAAACCTAGGCCAGCGACTTTCTTACCGTACAATTTTTCCGGATTTTTTTCGCTTTTGTCCCCGACAGGTAAAAAACATTAAAAAACACTGTCGGCAACTTGAAAATAATGCTGTCAGGCGCCGTGTCCTAGGTTTCTCACTACGCGGGAATTCAAATCCTCGTCCCTCGGCGGCACCTTTTTTGAATTTTTCTCATTTTCAACGGCGTTTTTCGGGGACTTCGGAGATTTCTTTTGAATTTTTTCGCAATAATATTAGGAAAATAGATAACTTTTAACACATTTTAATGCAATAAAAGTTATTGGTCGGAGTCCCCCTTTAAGGAAACTCAAAAAAAAATCTGAAGGCATGAAAACAATGGTTCTTTACCTCAAATATTGTCATCCTGAAACATTAAAAAAATGTTTTGAATGTTCATAATTTCAAATTTTTTTATTTTTCGCAAAACCGAAATTATAGATTGAAGTTGTGTGGAATATTCTTTTCAATTTATAAAAATCTCGATTCCAAATATAATCTGTTTCTGAAACTGCACTTTCTTGCATTTGACTTATTTTCAACAATCGGAGTAAGGTCAGACACTTTTGATTGTTAGGAGAGCTTCGAATGATAATATGGCAGTGCTTCCTGACAAATCACAAAGTGCTGGACATAAGTTTATCTCTAGATACTCTTTTTACTGATTTTTTTTCTCAAAAATGAGCTTTTTGAAGACAATAAATGTCGGAGATGACAGGATACCGGATTCTGAGAAAAATATTTTTCCATTTCTCGAAAAAGTCATTCCGGATATTTCCATATATGATCTGATTGCAGTGCTATAAATTCTCCATATATAATATGTCTCTGAAACTGTACTTTTGTGCATTTGACTATTTTTCGAGGATAGAAGTGAAACGATTGAAGAAAAGCGTCTAACTGACAGAAATGGAGAAGATATGGAAGAGGGAAATGACTAAATTTAGCAAAGTGTATCCCAAAAAATCCGGAAAGCTATATTTATTCTGATTGTGAATTTGAAGCGAAATGAAGCTAGAAAAAATTAACGCAAACAGGACATCCAAGCAGGGATTGATTATCATCAGCAGCTCAGTATCTCAAATACTCTGTTTCTGAAACTGATTTTTTTTTTCCATTTTCTCTTTTTGTACCACCTCCTCATTTGTTTCATTATTTTCAGGAGGCGAAGGATTCATTGTGAATCTGACATCCGGTCCAAACGTGGAACTAGATGATGACGAATCCGGACAACTCGACGACCGACTTTTGGCTCTTCGTGTGGACCTCTCCAAAGGAAAGGTCTTCTTGAATGCTTGTATCAACGGGCAGTGGGGGAAGTAAGTGATCGCTATGAAGAATACAACTCAATGTTTTTAATTAGAAACTACTTTTATCGAAAACATCAAAAAACAGTAAAAATATATTTTCTAGAGAAGCATTCGTCAAGCAATCGTACAAGGAAGGTGACGAGTTCGACATTCGAGTTCGATGCTTCGAACAACATTTCGAGATTTATGTGGAGCATAAATTGATTGCCAACTTTAAGCATTATGTTCCGATGAGCAATATCTCGCATATTTATGTGACTGGCGATGTGAGACTCTACGCCGTTTCATGGGAAGGAAAACTTTATGTAAGTTAGCTCAACGCACTAGTAACGAGTAACATATACATTATGTCTGTCAAGCTAACACTGAAACAGCGAACTTGTTGGTTTCAATGAGATGAAATTTTTTGTCAATAGTTTACTTTCATTCTTTATTTTATCGGTAAACTTGTAGTTATAGAATTGAAAAGAAAACTTGGAAGTTTGTGAGTGTATCGCAACTCGTTCACTGTAATAGAGTTGCACCCAAACCGCCAACTTGGAGCAAGTTTTTCTCGGTTCTTGTGAAAGATATCAAAAAGTGGTAAACTGACAAAAAATTCTATATAATATGCTTAACCTTTTGGCAGTTGGCAAATTTTAGTTAGGTTTCACAGTAACCGAGGAAAAATGGTTCAAAGCCGACGGATCCGCGTAGCACGGCGCTTCTAATATGTTTTCCAAAATTTAACTACTTAAAAGGTTTCAATTGGTTAAAAATTCAGTAGTTTTTAATGTCCCTCCTTTCTCTGAGAGCGTTGAGATTCAAAAATTATGTCTGAACTAACGGAAAGTCCAATATTGTAATTTTTTAGAATAGTTTGACCACAGCAAAATCGTTCACATATATTTCAAACTATTAATGAAACCGCATTGAAACAGTTAAAAAATTCTTCCAGAATATGCCGTACACCGCTGACATTCCCGGCAACTTCTACGTCGGTAGAAAACTATTCGTCTCTGCAATCGCTGATAAAAAACCGAAAGACCTAAACATAGACTTCTTTGCCGGCGAAGATGTCCCATTCAAGATGAACGCTTCTTTTGTTCAAAAGAAAATCCAACGAAGCAGCGAGATTTCTGGCACTAAATCGTCTCCTGAAACTGGCTTCGAGGGCAAGAATAAGTTTCCGTTGAAGGGGAAACGATCCTTTGACATTTTGATCTACGCGGCTGATGATAAGTTTTTGGTGTTCATCAATGACGTGCTCTACTGCACATTCGATCATCGCATGCCTGCTGCCAAAATCGAACGTCTTCAAATCACCGGAGACATTCAGTTGATTGGTGTTCATATTAAATAGATCCGAAATTAGTTTACACATTTTTTTCTCCATTTTTCAATGTCATTCCAATAAAGATTTTACTTTTGCTTGATCTCCTGATAAGAATATATGCTCAAATTGATGCTGGATCAGTATCCTAGACTTCTTAACACGTCCTCATCACTTCCTCATTCTTCAAAAAAGCCCAAAAAAGAAATAGGGGGCACCCGGAGTTGAACCGGGGACCTCTCGATCTGCAGTCGAATGCTCTGCCACTGAGCTATACCCCCGCACCACCATTAAGTGTATGACCGCGTACGGATTGATGCGGAAACTTGTTCGGAAGAACAAGAAAGAATGAAAACTGTCCATCGGTATGTATTATTTTCGGAGAGAAGAGAAAGCAAGAGAAAATGAAATGTGGGGAGACGCAGAGAAATAATTATCGGGAGCGAGAGTAAAGAGGGCGTAGAGATTGGTCTTTTTGGGAGTGTTTGGAAATCGGAGAACTGTGAGAAAGTGATGTGATCTGGATTTTTATAATACATGAATTAGTGCAAGTCGAAACAGATTTTGGAAAAAAAAAACAACACAATTTAAGGCATATCTGAAACAGGAAAAAATTCTGAAAATTTCAAAGAAACATTTTTTATCCGAGAATTCTGTGAGAAAAAAAACTCATTTTCGATTCAAAGCTTTCAGAAATGAAGTTTTTGAGTCCATTTTTGTATTTGAAAAATTACCGGAAAGGTTTGTTTGTTGGAATCGAAACAATATAATAGCGAAAAAGTATATTACCCATATGAAACAGAAAAATTCCAATTTTTTGTCAAAATTCCCCAAGGCTCTTTTTACGTTCCCTTGTCCGAAAACTATTCAATGTTATTTTAACACAGAACAACATTTTTCAAGATGCATGGGTATGTGCTAATGTGTGATTAAAGTAATAAAATTAGAAGGAAAATTATACAAACTTTATGAAACAGAAAAATTATTCTTAAATTATTTTTCAAATATAGTGGGAAATTGGGGGTACGACGAATTCGAACGTTTTCAAAATCGAACAGACCTAAAGTCGAACTGATTCAAATCAGAACAGTGTCTTTCTCGAACAAGTATCAAAACAGTACAAGGACAGAATCGAACTGCTCTAATTCGAACTGTGCACTGTCGAACTGTCCCAAATTGGAACGCTGTTAGCCGCCGAGCGTGCTTGCATTATTTTTCTTTTCTCATTGTTTTCTTCGCAAATTTTGAATTTGATCGAAAATTTGAAGAGAAATGCAAACGCGCTCGGCGGCTAACAGCGGGG